TGGAAAAATAAATATGATGGTAAATTAAATTATAAAACTTGAGCTAAAGTTCTTTTTTAATGTATTTGGTGCATTTTAAACGTATTTATTGATTTAGTGGTTCATTTATATGTTTCTGCTTTTAATTCTAATTATGTCAGTGTCGGTCCTCCATGCAGCAGAAGGTGTAAGAGGTAATTCAGTGACTGAATCAGGTGYGTTGGAGCAGGGAAATGTGTAAAACATGCAGGACTGCGGCCCTCCWGGACCAGGATTGCCCACCTCTGCTATAAAGTGTTAACTTTTTGTATCAATTTGTCTATCAAAATTTAGACCACTTATATCTAATTATACATTCCTATTTTTTATTAGAACTGCACAGTATATGAAAAATTAAGCAATGTATGCATAAATTAACAGTAACATGTCAGACATTTTTTAACAGTGTTTGTTATACAGTGAAGATATAACGGAATCTGCTGGCCTCCTTAGATATGTATTTTCTATTTGACATTTTATAAAGTATGTAAATGTGTTTTTACAGTTCCCTGAGATGACTTCAGTTGTGAAATGGTGTGACATAAAAAAATATTGCTAACTATATTGAATTTTAGATACATTTTTTTTACATTTAAATAGTAAAAAGTGACACAAACCAAACAAAAATAACTTTATTATTTATTTATTTTTTACAAAAAGCTTTGAACCAAAACTAAAACGAGGGAGGTAACATTTGGTGCTGGTTGGTGGTTTATCTAGTTTTGTTCGCAACTGTTCCACTGAATGACGGTGCACTGGATTCATTACCGTAAATGTTCAAACTTGGATCTAGATGTACAGCAAGGTGCTTTTTCAGATTACAGTTCTTCGTAAAGCCTTTGCCACAGTTGATACAAACAAAAGGTTTTTCTCCTGTGTGTGTGCGCTGATGCATATCAAGAGTGCATTTCTGAATGAAGCCCTTTCCGCAAATTGGACACCGATAAGGTTTTTCCCCAGTGTGTGTGCGCTGATGTGTGTACAGGTGCCCTTTCTGGGCATATCGCTTTCCACATAGCGTACATCTAAACGGCTTTTCTCCTGTGTGACTTCTCTGGTGAATTTCGAGCTGACTAAAGCATCGGAAACTCTTGCCACACTGCAAACAGCCAAACTTCTTTGCAGCCGAGCTTCTAAAATTGTGAAGCTTCAAATTTCTGAGTACGTTAGCACTTTGGGAGGCAACATGTTGAGCCATGCTTTTCCCAATCTGAAGGGTTGTGTTTGCAGGTGTTAACTGGGAGTTCCAGTGCATTTTTCCTCTCCCAGCTTCCTCGACCGACTGCTGGGYGCTCAGAGTCACAAATCTATTGGTGAATGGAGGCTGCTGAAGTTCAGCGATGGGTTTTGGGTGGGGCATCACATTTGGACTCTTTTGGGTGTTTGTGACTGCTTCCCCTCCTGTTGATAGCAAATAAACACAATACAAGTAAAAAAAAAAAAGAAGTTTTCGTCAGGCTTACAAAGCTTAGTAATAAAGCTGTAGTGTGGTGAAATAAGATGCAACATTATTTACTGGAACAATTTTGAGGAGCAAGCAAATGATAAACTCACTGTTTTCATTTGTCCTAGCTTGTTCAGCATTTTCATTGCCTGCCTCTGATGGCTCCACTTTTATTACTATTGGTTCAGACTGCTCCTTTAGTGGGTTTGGCATCTAATCACAAGGAGTATTAATCAAATGCACCAGTTAGAAATGTGAAACAAAGCAGAATRTGTGGTTGCAAAATAATAATATAGAAAAATTGCTGACTTACTTCAGTTAAACCATGATCTTCACTTTGTTGCAAACTGCTCATCTCAGCAGAGGAAGCTGTGTTTTCCCACAGAGTTTCACTAGGAGGAAGTGCACTTAGATTACAGCATAAGCCAAAGGCAACCAATGTTATAAAATGTCAGCATAGCACAAACTGAGTCGACCCACACACATGGCAATCAACAAGCCTACCTCAATCAACAAGCCTACCTCTTAATGACAGGTCTAGTCCTGTCAGGCGCCAAGAAATCGTCGTTTTCTGTAGCTTCTCTCATCACTACGGCTGCTGCATCCTGACTGCGTCCCTGTGCCATGTACAGTAACTTCTCCATCAGCTGCAGTTTCTCTGTGAGCGACGCGATTTCGTTTCGCCCTCGGGTTATCTCTATCTTCAACATCTTCGATTCGATCTCTACAAGTTTGCTTATTTCCATTACGGCTGTTTTGGACAACGCGTCCATAATGGACACGAGCTGCGTCTGGAAAGAAAACGCTGTGGACATGTTTCTTTTAGTCTCAAACACACAGAAATCTGCAAAATGTTTGTTACAACGTAAACGGAGTCGGAGTAAAATGACGTGTCGCCATCTAGCGGCGGGGCGGAAGTGTACAACCTCGCAAACTTGTAATATTTAGCTCAACAATTTCACCTCTGTAGATAGTAACATTAGTCGAGTTTGTATAAAGCTCAACTAAAATTCTGCTTTACATTAATTTTTCGACTTTATTTTGCCTCACTTGTTTACAGCAGCGTTGCGAGTTTTCCGGAGACTACATCAACCAGAATGCATCGCGGTATTACAGAAGCTGTGATTGGCTGATAAAATGTTGTCTGAGGAAGTAGTGCGTCGAATGAAATTTACTCATTTTGCCGACTTAAAATCTGCATGACCGTCTCCTGTTGTGGAGTTTAGTCTTTACAAGGTACGAAAAGTTACTTATTTATACAAGAAAAGTATACACGTCCTATATGTAAYAAACGAACTACTTTAAAATGCCCATGTAAACATGCTTTTTTATTATCCTGTTTAATTAGCAATTCCCAYTTCCTACAATATTGTATCCTATCACTTTAAATACTGCAAAAAAGGCAGTTTGATACAMTAGAAGGCCTAATAAGGAGAATTTACAGACACATCTTGGTTAGCAATTGTATTTGGTAACTTCCTTTTGTTCAGTAGTTYTCTTGTTTTTCTTCATGTCAGATAGTTCCCTCATGGCTGGTAGAAGAGTAGTGGTGTTTCCCACCTCAGCAGAGCTGGGTCCTGCCCTGGCCCATCTTGTGATTTCACGGGCAGAGAAGGCCATCTCCTCTCATGGCAGGTTCACCCTGGGCCTCTCTGGAGGAAGCCTCGTCTCTCTGCTCAGCAAAGAGCTGCTCGCCCTGCCACAACTGGACTGCAGCAAGTGGATGGTTGGCTTCTGTGACGAGAGACTGGTTTCGTTTGATGATCCAGAGAGCACCTATGGTCTTTACAAGGTATAATGTTTGTTTGTTTGTTTGTTTGTTTGTTTGTTTGTTTGTTTGTTTGTTTGTTTGTTAACACATGTTAACAAACAATGTGGTTATATTAGCGTATAATTATTCAATCACATTATTATCGTTCACATTTGGGTGAATTACTCTGATATGGCTGCTACTGCTTTTTTATCTTTTTTATCTTTTTAATCTTTTTCTACCTTTTATTTTATCTTTTTTAATGTTCTGATTTATTTGCTACAGTGGTTGTACTTTTTTATTTGKTTTTTTWMCYYYTWWTTTWMCYTTTTTTAATGTTCTGAGTATTTGCACTATGGGAGCTGCRAAATTATTTCGTTGGTCATTGTCTGTGGACCGCAGTGTTATTTTYRGTGCAACAATAACAATAAAAAGTGCACCATTTTGCTTCCTTTACAGRGTCATTTGTTTTCCAAAATCAACCTCCCTGAAAGTGGAATCCTAGCCATTGACTCCTCTCTGCCAGTCAATGAGTGTGCTGAAGATTATACACGCAAACTGAAAGAGGTGTGGATCAATCACAAGCTTTTAGAACATGGAGRAAGAATAACAAGAAGTCCTTTTTGCATTAACTATTCATTTTAATAATCACAGGCCTTCCCAAGTGACAGCTTTCCTGTGTTTGACCTGTTACTGCTTGGTATGGGACCCGATGGGCACACATGTTCCCTTTTTCCAGATCACCCTCTACTTGAGGTGAGAGCAACGTGTCAGTGAACTTATTGCTTGTATAGTTACTGTATGTTTACATATTAGAAATTTATATGGTTTTCAGGTTATTCTTGGATGGAGTTTCCTGGTTTGCTACAGTTGCAWTGTTCCTGCTATATTAAGAAGTGTTCTCATACATTTGCACCACAAAAATAATTAAATGCTTTGCACTGGAACTAAGAAATTGCTGTTTCAGTCCTCTCTGCTAATGTTGGCCTACCTTAACTCAAACCAGCAATCCAAACAAAGCATTCTTCTCATTATGTTCGTTAAACTGGATCAAACTGAAATATAAAATCTTGCAGGAAAAACAAAACTTCTAAAAGATTTAATTTTAAAATTATTAAAATAACAATGCAAGTGTGTGTGTGCCATGTTCTRCTATATATGGTAGTTATCACAAATGTCACTGATTGTAGCTTACACTGTATTTTTTTTTATTTAACAAAATATTTGGGTTGTCTGTGTCCAAAATGCAGGAAACAAAGAAGATAGTGGCCCCTATCAGTGATTCTCCCAAACCACCACCACAGCGAGTGACTATGACTTTTCCGGTGGTGAACTCTGCGCGCTGCGTTACTTTTGTAACTACAGGTGGAAGCAAAGCTTCTGTTTTGAAGGTAACACCGAGTTTTGTCAGTTGCATTTCAAAATCATAATCCAGTGCTCTAAGAATATAGAAAGATTGATAGTAGATAGTAAATCACCTGTRATTGTGCCCAATCTTTCATAAAAGTCATATCCTGTTTAGTAAGGGATTTTACTTCAGATGAGATTACAATGTGCAGATAACACTGTTTTTATTTATATGAATGTAAAATGCATGTATCTTTTATGTACAATTTGTGTTAACATTTTTCTATTTTCACAACAACAACATAAACAAACCTTTTAATAAGGTTATCTAATAAGAACAGACAAAGAAGAAACATTAATCCGGACATTAAATAAGTTCAAGCCATTTACCATTAGAGGAAGAAAACTGATGATAATAATCATAGCTGTTTTTGTGTTTTTCTTTGCACATCAAAAATACTCAAACTTGCAGTAATACAGTTGTTTTACAAAACAGTGGTCAATGTGTTTACAGGAAGTCCTGGAAGGTAGAGAAGGTTCAGCGTTTCCAGCAGCCCGTGTTCTTCCAACCAATGGAGAGCTGTTTTGGCTCATCGACGACCCTGCAGCTGCTTCCTTGACTATCCAGGTAGAGAGGCCAGGCTCGGGGGCCAAACTGTAGAGCTCTCAGGGAAATAACGCAGGATGTCAACACTATCTTAAATAAAAATGATTTCTTATTATTAAAGTGGTGAAATTCTCAATCAGTGAACACAAGCAAAAAATACATGTCTTTGCAGGTTGTTGTATAAGGGGTGTTATTTAGGTACATTACATTTACTGTAAAATACATACAATAAATTGTTGACTGCAGAATTTTGAAGAGCAGATAACAGTTGAATTTATCTACGATACAGCTGTGTAACATGCAGATGTAGGTTTGATGTAGAAGCTAGAGACGTGCAAAMACACAAATTTTCAGTGAAGTGAAAAACTGTAGACCAAATATTTTAAGCCTTTTTTCTGTTTTAAAATATGACAAAAAATGTTTTAAAAATTAGATGTTTCTTTTTTTGTGTCTAGTTTTTAACAAACTTGTAATCTAATCTGACCAAAATACTACGAAATGACATGCATATATTGTGAAAAGTTGTTTAAGCAGTTGGGAATGATCTGTAAAATATCAAATAAAGTAATTCGCTRTTAACTTGAATTAGGCCCGTGGTTTTTTAACGGCTGAGTTTGTTGTCCGTCCCCTTTAAGACCGAGGCTCATCCCACCCCTTTAAAGCTCAACTTGTGCAGCTACTTTTCCTGTCTTTGTGATGGCCGTGAGAAGTGGAGGGATAAATATCAATTCTGCAGTTCTGAACAAGCCCCGGTCACATTTTAATATCCTGTAAAGCATAAGGTATCTCCACGATGTCTGAGGTGTCCGTCCTCCGCGCCGCGCTGCTCCTGCTGCTCCTGTCCGGCTGCAGCTCTCCAGCCCGGGGATACTTTGCTGAGGAGCGCTGGAGCCCCGAGTCTTCGCTCCTCGCCCCGCGGGTTCTTCTTGCTCTCATCTGCAGAAACTCCGAGCACACTCTGCCGTATTTCCTGGGAACYATTGAGCGCCTCAACTATCCCAAAGACCGTATGGCTCTATGGTAAGTTGTCACTGGAGAATTGGCCCTGTTGAACCAAATGATCTATTTAAATGAGTTAAAATTGTGGAAATGCTTCTTAACACAAAGGCTGTCCACACTGACATTACACTGTTTTTTTTAGGAAGAATATTAAAGTGGGCAGACCCGCAGAGATTGAGCATCAAGAGTGTGTTGAAAGGCTGAAGAGCTACAGAAAGTCATGATTATTATCAGAGCAGTGAATCTACTGACTGAATATTTAAAATCAAACCTGGACTGGAGAAAGACATGAACAGATCCTGACACTGTTAATCAGAGTTTAGTGATCTGTAAACGTGGAGGGGAGGAGACGGGAAAAATCTGTCCACTAGAGGAGCTGTTCACCCTTCACTTTCTCCACACAGCAGCCTTCATTTCCCTCTGAGTTTTTATAGTTTTAGACTGAACCATGTTTATTTCATGTCTCTGTAAAAGTTTTCTGCCAGTGACAGCTGTGTCTGCACCCTGCTGATTTCAACAGACAACTTTCTAAGCAACTAACTGTGCTAATTAAACATCTGTCAACCATGTCTAGAGGGGAAAAAAACGTAAGCAAGTAAGAGTGGTGGTTCTTGCTTAAAAAAAGTAAATAACATGCTTCACCAGCCCACCCACATCTGTATCCTCAGCTCTGAGCAGTTTACATGACTGCCCTGAGGACTGAAGAGGTGTGATCCTCACTGAGTAACTTGATGAAGCAATTTAACCTCACAGAGAAGCCTTGTAAATGTTTTTTTTTTTTTTAATGTTTGGGAGGAGTCGTGTTAAACTGATTTTAGAATAATGTTTGCAAAAAATACAGCTCTGTCTTRCACGCTCAAGGGACAGATTAGGTTACATGTGAGAAATGCAAACAGCTTTGCGCTGCTGTAAACACCCTATATTCTAAGTATTTTAGCKCTTTGTAAGCATGCCAAAGCCTCAGAATCATAATCGGCCAAACTGTCATTTTAGATTTTTTCTTGTCTGCAATTAGGGCTGCTTTCTGCTCTCCTCCAGTAACAGTAAAAATAGACGGGATTAGAAGAGACGCGCCTCTCACTGATGTCTGTTCAAATGCTGTATATTTCAGAAGTATGCTTTCCTTTTAGTAAACTTTGCTTGAGCATAAACAGGGAACAGATTATGTAAAAGAGGGATTTGATTGAAGGCTGTATAGCAGCAATYGGGGTTGGTAATAAGAAAGTGTCCTGGGAGAGCCACAAAAAATTAACTCCATTAAATCTATTCTAGCTGTCATTCAAATGAGTAACTTTCACATTTAGCTGATTGCATGTGTTTTTATTAAAGCAGGGTTTTGGTCTGTCTGGTTAAGGAAACTGGAAGTGTTTTATTTTTGCATTATTTAGCACTTTTTGAATAGTCATGTGTGCTGAAAACCCAATGTGTAGCATGGTTTCATTCTTCAGGATTGCATTAAACCTATTGTCTAACACRGGGTCATTTGCTTCACACATGGCTCAAATCTCTTCCTTCCGTTCTAAGCATTACAGATTTTAGAAGTAAAAGTTTCACTTCTGTGATGTCCTTTTTTACGTGTTCTTTCTTTAAAATGCTAACGAGATATCTGCTACTTGTACTTTGTTGTTATTGTGTACTGTTAGTATCAGTAACACTTGTATCAGTTCCCACAGCTACAGACAATATGAGTCTAAATGTGAACACAGGRCTATTGTTATTTGAGTCAAGGTTTTTCCTTTCAGTTCTGGTCTTTTCTTGGCACTTGTGCTGCACTCATCATTGGTTTTGAATACAATACATACTGTTCATTTGTACTTTTGCTTTATTGACAGGGTTGCAACTGACCACAATGAGGACAACACCACGGTGATTTTACGTGACTGGCTTTTAAAAGTGCAGAAACTTTACCATAATGTGGAGTGGAGGCCAAAAGAAAAGCCTGGGTTTGTTTTGTTACACTTTTCTGGTGTAATCGATAAACAGCTAAACAAATAATCCATTCATTTAACATCACAATGTCTTTCTAAGACGTTATAAGGATGAAGATGGTCCAAAGCACTGGACAGATCTTCGTTATGAGCATGTTATGAAACTTCGGCAAGCAGCACTGGAGTCGGCTCGTGAAATGTGGGCGGACTACTTCATGGTAAGTCAGTAAGTTTTTCCTGAGTACGGTAATATTAAAAAGACAATAAGACTGAAAATGCACTGAGACAGCTGTTAAAACTATTTTTAGCATTTGATTGTAGCAGCTAAAGAATTACAAAATCAAGCCACAGTTGTAAATAAAGAGGAACACAAGGCGTTAAAGTTGATCTACTWGTGCTTTGTTTCTCAGAGTTTATATTTTAGTATAGTTCATTCAGGTTTTGACATTTTATTGCAGTATTTTTTTAGCCCAACACACAGTGTTTAGGTTTAGTGGAGTTTTAAGTGACATAACTCCAGAACTGCGATAATTCTGTCTTTGTAGTTTTATTGCTCAGCTTCCTTTTTATTTTAAATCAAAAATTAAAAAGGAATTTTCTTTGACTCTATRAACACATTTCACAATCTCACCACTCTCCACTGTGCAGTTGGTGGACTGTGATAACCTTCTCACCAATCCCAATGTGCTCTGGAAGCTCATGAAACAGAATAAGACTATYATCGCTCCAATGCTTGAATCCCGAGCAGCCTATTCAAACTTCTGGTGTGGAATGACTTCCCAGGTATGAAAACTGGTTGCGTCTGCTTGTGCGTTCAGGCCAACACCCTGGATTATTTTTTATTAATTCAAATGTAAATCCGCTACTTCTTGTCAGGGCTACTATAAGAGGACACCTGCCTATATACCTATCAGGAAGAGACTGCGGAAGGGCTGTTTTGCTGTTCCTATGGTTCACTCTACATTTCTGATAGACCTCAGAAAAGAGGCATCGAGGCAGCTGGCTTTTCACCCACCACATCCAGATTACAGCTGGGCTTTTGATGACATTATCGTGTTTGCATTCTCTGCTCGGATGGCAGGTATTTCACAAGCTAGTGATTAAATGTAAAATTGAACATGTTACTCGTGATGTTGATGTTTCCAATCTATGTTTTTTAACAGATGTTCAGATGTTTGTATGTAATAAGGAGACATATGGTTACTTACCTGTACCACTGCGCTCTCACAACACTTTACAAGATGAAGCTGACAGCTTCCTGCACTCCCTGTTGGAAGCTAATGGTGAGAGTTCTGCTTTCTTCCTGCAGTCGACTCCTTTTGGTTTGGCTGGCTTTAAAGTTTTTTTATTATAATCTTTGCTGCCCTGTCTGTCCTGTAACATCTTGTGGCATGAGTCTTGTATTTCATTTGTACCATTTCTGCATCCATCTTCCCTCTCACCATGTAGTGCTAAATTCTACAGTGATGCCTTCCAAATACATACCTGTTCCTAGAAAACAACCTGACAAAATGGGCTTTGATGAGGTGAGTAAAGAGCCTGGTGAAGATGGAAAAATGCAAAAATGGCCTTCTACCTATTTCTTTTCTTAACTTCCCCCTTCTGTTGCAATCTGTAATTACACTGGCGTCACTGTATTTGCAGGTGTTTATGATAAATTTGCAGAGGAGGACAGATCGCCGAGAACGCATGCTGGCGGCTCTGTATGAGCAGGAAATTGCATGCAAGGTCATTGTAGCAGTAGATGGAAAGTAAGTTCACGAAAAAATCCTATTGTTTAGTACATATTAATTATTACAGTGTCCCATTTTTGTAAATATTTGTATCACATTTTCTTTCTTTGCTCTAGAGCAATGAATGTCAGTGAAGTTCATGCAATGGGTATCCATATGCTCCCTGGGTACAGTGACCCTTACCATGATCGACCACTGACAAAGGGAGAGCTGGGCTGCTTTCTTTCCCACTATAACGTCTGGAAAGAGGTACATTTTAAAAGCTAAGCATTTATCTAGAATTGCGCTGCTCAATGTGGCAGCATCCTAAAGTAGCTCTGTTACTTTTACTCTGTGATATTGCTTTTAAAACTTTAGTTTAGGAGGTTTAGGAGGTGCTGTGGATGTGGAGCAGGAGTAAAAAGGAGAGAAAGAAGGAGGAAATGCAAACTTGAGCAAAAATTGGGAGTGCCGAGCAGGCTCGCTAAAATCACATCTGCCCAGCATTCTTCTGACCAACGCCAGATCTGTGATCAATAAGATGGATGAACTGGACTTATGCATYGCAGCAAATTCCTCTGTGCACAACTGCTGTGTCTTTACCTGCTGATCCCAGATGCTATAATACAGCTGGCGGGATGCACTGTCCATCGCCATGACGGGAACGAGCAGAGGCAGGGGACTGTGTATATATTCACAATGACTGGTGCACAAACAGCAAGATAATAAACAYACACTGCTTTATAAATATTTAAGCAGTGTCTGTTGCTTGCAGACATTTTTATTTGCCCAGAGAGCTAGCAATGGTAATCATCACCTCTGTCTATATCCCCACCCCATGCTAACATTAGCTTAGCTCTTGMATATCTACACAACATGSTCAACAGACAGCAGCAAATCCAYCCTCATGGASTTCATATAATCACTGTAGATTTTACCCAAGCATGCTTAAGGTCTGTGCTCCCTTAATTCACAAAATATGTGCAGTGTGTCAGCAGAGGGACAAACATGTTGGACCGGGTCTACTCCATCCTGAAGCGTACCTACAGAGCAGTCTCCCTCCCACATTTGGCTCTGTCTGACCAACTTTCTATACGCCTCATCTCTGCATATACTCCTGTCAGGAGGAAAGCAAAGCCAGTCAGTGTTAATCTGTGTTAAAACCTGGCTGGAGGCTGCTCTCTCCCAGCTTCAGGATTGCTTTGCAAAAACTGACTGGAGCACATTCGAACAGCAGGACCTCCAGGGTTTCACTGACTCCACCATAGCCTTCGACAGGTTCTGCACAGACAGGATTGTGAYAGAAAAAAACATCTGGGTTTACTCAAACCAGAAGCCCTGGATGACCAACAAAGTCCAGACGCTCCTGAAAGCCTGAAATGCTGTTTTCAGGTTGGGGGTCCAAGGCAGCCTACAAAAGGATGGTGGAGGATATCTGGCTGACAACAATCCACAAAAGGTGTAGCCAGGCCTAAAACAGCTAACAAATTACAAYCCCCCTGTGATGATCACAGTAGATGCCTCCCTGGATGAGGAATTAAATTATTTCTTTACTCACTTTGAATCAAACTCACCTCAGCCACACTGTCTCCACTGTCCCCACATCACACAATCCCTCTCACCATCCAGGAACACTGAGTGAAATCTGTGTTCAGGTCTGTGAATGTGAGGAAGGCTACAGAGCTGGATGGAATCCCTGGCAGTGTACTGAAGGCTTCTATGAGCTCACAGGGGCCTTTACAAAAATCTTTAATCTCTCCCTGGCACCAGCCTCTGTTCCACCCTGCCTCAAGTCGACAACTATAGTCTCTGTCCCAAAAAGCTCAACCACCACCTGCTTCAATGACTACAGGCTCATAGCACTAACACCAGTGGTCACCAAATGTTTTGAGAGACTGGTGCACAGCACATCAAGGACTGCCTCCCTCTTCTTTTGATCCTCATCAATACTCATACAACAGATCCACCTCCGATGCCATCTTCACTGCCCTCCACACCGCTCTAACCCACCTAGAACTCCCTGAGTTCTACATCAGGATGCTCTTTGTCGACTTTAGCTTGGCCTTTATTACCATGATCTGTCCTGACATCCCGGTGGACAAACTGGCTGCCCTAGACTTTCCACCAGCCACTTCCATCTAGATTAAGGACTTCCTTACAAATCGTCCTCAGTCTGTAAGGATTGGCGCACACAGCTCCTCCACYCTGACACTCATGCTGCGTTCCATTAGTCCTGGGAAGTGGTAATTTCCCTGTTCCCATTGGTAGATTTAAACTGGAACGCCCCCTCCAGTGGTAATATTCCACTCGTATAGTGGAAGAAATGAAATTGCCCCCAGTTTCGATTTCAAGATGGCGGCTACTCGCAGCTTTAGAAAGTTAACTCTGTAACTTTTACTCTTAATTATCTTTCTTAATTTTTTGTGCAMGCTTAATCACTCACACAAGTAGTGTGTTTTCTGTGCAGTACTGTATACTTATTAAAATCAATGTTTGTTTGCATGACATACGTAGTAGAGCTCTCTTTTTGTCATGGTTTATATTGTAGCAGTGTTGTAGCTAGGTTAGCGGCAACAATAAAATCGCCTGTCGGCTGACTGGAATGCAGTTTCATATTGGAAAATGACGTCCCTACCATTTACCAGTTTCGAGAATACAATGTACCAGTAAATGGAATGCAGCATCAGCACTGGCTCCCCCCAGGGCAGTGTGCTGAGCCCACTTGTATTTGCCATCTACACCCATGACTGCACCCCATCTCACTCCACCAGTACTATAATCAGATATGCAGTTGACACTACTCTGGATGGGACTTGTGCAATAACTACTTTATTATTGGCTTTGTCACTATACAGTATATACTGTATATATTGCTGTTGTCCTATACGTTTTTCTATGTTCAGTTTCGTTACAGGCTTGTTCACTGACAATGAAAACAATTCTATTAAGAATTGTTGAAATGTGCAGATGATATTTTGATGAATGTGTGTCTGGTCTTAGATTGTAGAGAGGCGTCTGCAGACTTCTCTGGTGATTGAAGATGATCTGCGCTTTGAGGTTTTCTTCAAACGTCGCTTGGTGAACTTAATGAGTGAGATTGAGGAAGAAGGCCTGGATTGGGATCTCATGTGAGTTTGCTCTTCCACAATAACCTTCGGTTCTATCACAGCTTTCTTAGGTCAGTTTCTTCTCACCTCTCCTCTTTCTTCCTTGTCTCTAGCTATATTGGTCGGAAAAGAATGCAAGTAGATCATCCGGAGAAAGCAGTGCCACACATACACAACCTAGTGGAGGCAGACTATTCCTACTGGACTCTTGGCTAYATGATGTCATTACAAGGAGCTGAGAAGCTTTTAAAAGCAGAACCTTTAAAGAAGATTTTGCCAGTGGATGAGTTTCTTCCTATCATGTACAACAAACATCCAATGTAAGTATTTAACTCTACTAGAAAAAGTAGGCACCTGTGAACTTCTGCTCAAAATTTYTTTGGCTTTGTCTTCTCGTTCACAGCTCTGATTATAAGGAACAGTTTGAAAACAGGGACCTGAAGGCGTTTTCTGCAGAGCCTCTCCTTGTGTATCCAACTCACTACACAGGCGACCCAGGCTACATCAGTGACACTGAGACCTCCACTGTGTGGGACAATGACAAGGTCCGAACAGACTGGGACAGGGCACGCTCGGGAAAAACCCGAGAGCAGGCAGAGATCAGCAGTGAGGCTCAGAACTCAGATGTGCTCCAGTCCGCTTTGGACACTGCAGCAGCACGGGACGAGCTTTGAGAAGAAATGAGTGGGAGCCTAAAACGTAAAGGTTCATGGGACAAACCTAAAGCTTTGTCTGTTGTTAGTAGTTTTTGAAATAGCATCACAGCAGGGATGTGAAATCATAGTTTGAAGAATGACTACATTTGTCAATTATGACATGTATGTTAAAAAGGGATCAGGGGCGTTTTGTGTTTATGTTTTACTTTGATGGGGCACTAGACTTGCCATTTTAAATGGCATTTGCAGTACTCGGCTTGTGTCTGTCATACAGAAGTTACCAAATACATTAACAAAAAAATCAACTTAACTTTCATTACACTGTGAAATGTTTTTCATGTTTTATGAATATTGTATAGGTCTTCTGGACGGGTTCTTCTCTAATGAAATGTTTCGTCTCTCCTCCAAGAGGCTTCTTCAGTC